AAAAATAAACAAAAATATACAAAATTAATAAATCTACTGCTATTTCTTGCTTTTAATTAAGTTCTCTGTGTCCATATAGTTCAATGTAAGCAACCATTTTTTCACTAGTGGTTTAGCTTGCCTAACCGTTTTGTGCTTTAGGTTTTCATTACAATGTCTAATAACCGCGTTATAAATATAGATCTTAGCAACATCTTGAAATAGATGTTTTTGGATAGATGGTGATTTTGTAGCTGTCAAAGTTACAGGTAATTTGTAACAGTATTTTGTAAATAATAACAGATTCCTTCACTGTGTTCAATCAACAGTATGTAGCGAGTTGTGAGGTGTCAATATCCTGTCTATTTCAGCAGAAACTAACGATGCGGGTCGACAGAGTGTCGGCCGTGTCGCGGAGACCTTCCTCGCTGTGTCTCGGCTCTGATCCGACACGGCAGACAGGAGCTTGGTCCAGCAAATATAAATGAGATAAAAACAAACGTATTTATGAAGGTGCGACATTATCATAGTACCTATATAAAATACGAGGAAACGAGATGTGTAGTGGCATCATTCTAATCTGAATTAGTCGGCTATAAGCGATTCTCCGGTTTATACATATTTCAAGATAATAATGTAAGATTTAGTTAAGACATAAAATGTAAAAACAGAATTAAAATGAAACAAAAGAATACATTAAAGTATGAAATAAAAAGTCTTGAATATTTCAAAAGATGTTGTTGCCTCAGTAGAAGTAAAGTTGTTTTCATTAATTGCGTCAATTATTTCTGCGCCGAAATTAAGAAGAATCGCAGACACTCTCGCGTCTCAGTCGAGAGACCTTTTTACTAAGTCCAAGAATTGTAACAAATTTAGGAATTTTATTTTACCCAATTTAATCGTACCTTTTTTTCCGGCCCGGTTCCGAATCTCCTACAGGGTCCCCGTGCCTAGGGGGCGCACAGGGTATGTGGAACTTAATGATCTGCAAATGCTGGGAGCAGACCGCGGGCCTAAAGACGTTTTAGGGCCCTACCGCACTAAATGACTCCCCTGCACTCTTACACCCGACGTCCGATCTCCGTCCGGGGTAAGAACCCGGTCAGAGTAGGGGGGTTCCCGCGGTCAACACTACAACCAGACACGCGGCGCCACCCCGAGGACGCCCGACCGACGGGTCGTCGAGGCGATAGTCGACGACTAGCGACGACGGTCACCGCGGATCCAATTTAATCATGTGTTTATCTATAAATGGTTCTGTTTAATTAGTAGTAGCTATGATCAAGAAACACCGAGGAGGGAAGTTTATTCCAAAGCTGCATGATACCTGGCAGAGAATATCTCTGGAAGCACACTATGGATGAACGCAATGGTGGACGGTGCGATGGTTAAAACGAGGTGATGAAATCATTTCAATCAATTCCCTAGAGTTCTACTACTCTCCTACTAGAATATAGGATCCAAAACAGAGAGCCAACCGAAGTCCTTCTGCAGACCCAGAGTTTCTTAAAGATCCGTGAAAATGGGATAGTCTGTATTTTTATTCGAAATTCAATTGGAATTAAACAATTACTATCTATCATGTTTTCGTACTGAAATATAGTAAAGAATCAAAATACAACAACAATACAACACAACCACAAACTACGGACGAAAGTGTTTACGCATCAACTCCTCCTTTGCAAAGTCGGGAAAGACGCAGGCAGCGCGGCGAGGGAGGGGACGGCAAACCGGCTGACCGGCGAGCTCCGCAACGCGTAGAACAGACAACCACCTGCACTTCTGAACGGGACTCAACAGCTACAAGACGCGCAATATTATGTACAATTTCTTCATATTAAACCAAAAAGATAATTCACTAGTATTTATAATTTAACGGCAGACTTCACAAACCACCTAAGAAACAAAACACAAAGGAAATACAGTCTGAAAATTCACAATCAAGAACAGAATGCAAAATACAGTTCCCTGACATCGGACTTATTATTAAAGGGTTTCCATTAAAAATTTACAGAAATTTATGTTTTCATGTAATTAATAATTAGTGTGTATATGTCGGACTGTCAGATTAGGTCGTTCTGTTGTTGAAGGGAGTCCTTTGCTCTTAATTTATATTATTAACGTACAAAAACAATTTTGCCTGCCAGATCCTCCATCATGCTCGTGCTGGTAGACTGTCTCTAGAGGAGGTCCGAGTATCATTCCACGGTACTCCTACAGAACAAGAACAGAAGGATCTTCAGGCTGACGGATGTCGATGCTAAGGCCCGGATGTTGTGTGTGAAAATGTTTAAATGATGTAAGCCATCTATATATTAATACGCGAAGCAAAAACTTTGTATCCCTTTTTACGAAAATTGCACGGACGGAGGAGTATGAAATGTTCTAGACTTATAGAGAATATAGAGAAGAAGTGCACAATGATAATTTTTTTTTTAATAATGCATAATAGATACATTAAATCAATAAAGAAAACATTACACACACTACATACCATGTATTTGACGCACACACGCATGCATACTATTTATTGTCAAACTTTTGTGAAAACGTCACAATGTATCTTTTATGCAAGATTTAAAAAAAAATATTATCATTGTGCACTTCTTCTCTATACTCTCTATAAGTGTGAAAAATTTCATACTCCTCCGTCCGCGCAATTTTTGTAAAAAGGGATGCAAAGTTTTTCCTTCACGTATTAATATATAGATAATAGCTGTCGCTACACATTGCCCATTGGAGTAAAATTTTAAATATTAATTTTAATAACAATCGACCGTTTGAATACGATCAGAAAATAAGTAATTAACGGCTTAACGATGTTTATGTTTGAATCATTCGTTTGAGAACTGTATTTGTTTTATTTAGAATTTGTTTTTATAAGCCGAGAGTTTGGGAAATTTAGTTTTTAGAAAAGTACAATAACACTATTTTTGGTTTCTAAGTGTACATAGATTATCTTACTTTATTTGCAATGTTTTGTTCTGGTTTTGATCCATGCCCGTTTACGGTCTCGCAAACTGATGCGATCAGATTTATGATTTTTTGTGGGACTATCAAATTGACATATTTCCCTCCCGACTCAACATCAAAATCGCGAACTATAACATGGTTAGGAATGATAAGTCGGGCTTTGGATAGCCTGCCAACCGAGAGGACTGGTAGTCGTGGCGCCGACGACTGCCAGTCCGGCGTCCCGAAGGGAAGGGTGATGGGAGAGATGTGTTCCGCACTAAACACTTTACTTTCCCCCCTTTGCCTTTTCATGAGTTCTGTCTCATGCGAGGTTTGGACGTGGGTTGTCGAGCGACAAGAGGTTTTAGTCAGTTCGACTCCGACATGCCCCGCCCTCTATCCCCAGTGGAGGGCGGAAGTCCGGCGATTTCCTCGTGACTAAAAAACAAAAAAGAAATGACAAGTATTAATTTACTACTTAAGGAACGTCCAGTTTTTTTTGCGTCCCAGGCGATCCCTTCGCGCGCTTCAACATAAAAGCGTTTTTGTGGCGCATCTCAGTGACGGTGACAGGACACTCGCCGAGCGTCATCGCGTCCGTGTATCTTCCACCCAATAAATAATCTAAACAGTGATAACGAGGTACTCGCTCGGCTTATGAAGCTGTGACAGCTGTGACAGGCGACCTTAATTTTAAACACATCAGGTGGAACTCTCCTACCACAACCCCTATCGGTAGATGCCTCGATGTGTTGGTCGATTATTTCGCCTTCGGTATTCTCGCTCCGTAAACCCGCTTAATATCGCGCACGGATATTCTCCACATGGCTCCAATTATCGAATCTACTGTCAGATTTAGACACAGACCAGAAGCTATGCAGAACGGTCCCGCCCCCAACTCCGAAGCCGTTTATCTTCTTAGATCCTAAATTGACGTCCCAAACAAAATAGCAGAATCCCAAAATGTTACAGAATTATGTGCGTAGCTAGCAATAGTGTATTTAGTTCGGTGATATAATTAGTTTTGATTTTGACATAGACATCTACAACATAAACGCCACCGTCCACCTTGAGACATGAGTTCTAAGTCTCAGTTTTGTAATACAACGGCTGCCCTACTCTTCAAACCAAAACGCATTACGGCTTCGTGGCAGAAATTGGAAGACAAGTGGTACTTGCCTGTGCGGGCTCACAAGACGCCCTACCATCAGTAATTACACCAATTATAATCTTTGCAGCTTTGATTGTTATTACATTAAGTAATTTCTTCACCGTGGAAGTGATTCCTGAACATGTGTTAAGTACGTATTTCATTAGGAAATTGGTAAATGCGGGNACCAAAACGTATTACGGCTTCGTGGCAGAAATTGGAAGACAAGTGGTACTTGCCTGTGCGGGCTCACAAGACGCCCTACCATCAGTAATTACACCAATTATAATCTTTGCAGCTTTGATTGTTATTACATTAAGTAATTTCTTCACCGTGGAAGTGATTCCTGAACATGTGTTAAGTACGTATTTCATTAGGAAATTGGTAAATGCGGGACTTGAATGCCAGCTTAGTCGCATCGCTCGATCCGAATGTACCGCGCGTCTCAACCCTTCACGACGACTACAGAAATCAATAGTCAGTGGTCAGCTGCGAGCACTTCATTGTGAAACTCCTTATCTCATGTACATAATTGCACTAACTCAATAGCACCTGTTTCAAGATAGCGCCAAGATAAGTATTCAATTGAGCATTTTCTATGTTAGTTCATGGGCGCGTACACAAGCCACGCTTACCAGATTCTTCGACCAAACATGACTGCTTCGCTATAGACACGAGCAGGATGGTATACACAAAAGCACAATACACTACGTTGTGATTATAAATGTGAAAATGTAATGTTTATAATAATATCTACTATTAGTTCATACGCGAAGAATCACAATCTTCAGAGGGATCTGCGAACTCAGCCAACCGAACATAATTATAATAATGAGTAATGTGTGATGTTAAAACAATGGCTAGCTCCTAAATATGAAGTAAACATAACTGTCCTGTTTAAAAGTGCGGTGAGTGACGCCTTGTTACAGTCAACGACGTTGAAGCTTGGCGTGAGTTTTTTTTTATATTATTACTAGCTAACCCTGCAGACTTCGTAGTGCCTCAATCGATAAATAAAAGACCCAAACTTTTGTATAAAATAAATTTAAAACAAACAAAAGGAATCCATCCGACGGGGGCACTTCAAAGGAAAAACAAAATTGTTATTTTTATTTAATTCCGGGCATTTTCATATTTATCTACCTTTTAAACCTTCTCTGGACTTTCACAAATAATTCAAGACCAAAATTAGCCAATTCAATCCAGTCGTTCTCGAGTTTTAGAGAGACTAACGAACAGCAATTCATTTTTATATATATAGATATCAATCTTTGCTTTATTTCCTACATACGTCAATTCTCAATTATTGTATTATCCTATTTACTTTCTTTGCTTCAAGTCGTAGTGCACAACTGGCAATACTAAATGAGACCCGGTGCTGATCCCAAGTTCACTGGTAGCAAGTCTCTAGCTGCCACTAGTACATAGATTCATGCCTTCATGTATGATCATGCAGAAAACAGCATTACTAATTCATGAGCTTATTCATAGCTCATCGACAAAAATAAAAGTGTTAATTCTTAATTTTCTAGGTGAGAGATAAACATGAATACGTCCTCAGCGTTATCGCAGGTTGAAAAGGTTAAGCTGGCGTTGCGGCTCCTTGCCGTGCTACAGATCACTCAGTACCTCTGGCCGCGTTCAGCGGAGATACAAGGCAAGTCTGTACATTTGTAGATGACCTTATATGCCGTCTGGTCTCAACTGGTTACCGCCACTCACCTTGAGACATGAGGTCGTAGTTCCAATTCGAATACAGAGATTAAAATTTGTCCGCGTGCACTTTGTTAATCGCGCGCCATGCGCCCATGCGGTGGAATGGAAGGCTGTCTGTATTCTTTCACAAGGTTCAAACTATTTAAACTATTTCCATACTGAATTGGGTCATAATTAGATCAGTGGTTTCAGTGTGAAAATATAAACGAAACAGAGCTGTTTTCATATTAAGAAAATTGTGTTATTTGTTATGTACATAACTTCTAGCATTTAAGAGTTTAACATTGTTATAATACACAGTAATTTATTTTTCAATATCTTATTTTAATGAAACAAGAAACAAAAAATTATTTGAATACGATTGTTTCTTTTTGCCCTCGTAGTTAGACTAGCATACGGCCAAACTGACGAAGAGTGGAGTGAGTTAAATGGGTAATTGCCTGAACTAAATTAAATTATCTCCACTCGAAGACCCAGAGAATTCTCCACTTTACATTGATCTTTGTGGAAACCCAGCTTTAATGGCCATAGTATCGGAGCAGCTGCCGTCTACGACGACTGTGAAGTTCCGCCCATTAAAAAAGCTAGCGATCCACTTGCGAAGCCCTCGGGAACGCATTGGGAATGCGGGAAAGGACACTATCACGATAAATCTGTAACTCGAGAGGTCCGACCGGGCATCCTTCTTGAGGACAGCGTGGACGCGGGCGGTCCTCCACGAAGACGGATCTATTAGTGTTAATGTTACGTTAGGCTTTTAAAACCAGGTTTCGGATGAGCCCTGGGCTTGACTAATGACTATCATACGAATATGTAAAAAATCTATGTAGTTATTATTGATAACCTAGTTTGAATGTTTACTCGATTGCCACACATATATATTTCATTTTCAAGTGAATCAACAGTAGCCACATATAAAACATTGGGTCGAGGTCGGAATATGTTTTTTAACACGGCTTTTGGATGGAACTGAAAGACATTCATTATTCATCTAGGTAAAACTTCTGGGATATGTGCGTTTTTTAGTATACTTACAGACATAAGGGCAGTTGTTCCCTTCGTTTTGTTTCTACTAAACTTGTCTTGAGTTCATAAAAGTATAACGGATTGTGGCTAGTTGAACCTGCCCGCAGGAGCGTGATAGAACCGTGCGCTGGTAATGTCAATGACATTGCCGACTTAACTGCCGGTATGATACTAGTAACGGGGGGCCCTAACACCACAGAGAGCCTACCGTGCTCTTTATTTTATGAAGACGCAACCATATTGTTACCCGTTGCGGCTCAAAATAAATAATATAAATAAATAATAATTCTCACGCACTTAATAATTAAAACTCAATTTAATTATCACGAGACTTAGAAGAAGTAGACTTTAATATCACAATTGACTTCATGCGCTTCTCTTCAGGTGATCCCTTCACTGGCTCGCTTCGATTTGAACTGATTACTAACTGCCTTCATGCCTTGCAGCGCAATTGTAGTCGACATGACCTGTCGACGACAAATGGCGTTACTCATACCGGCATAAAAATATGTTCAGATTTGAAACTGGCTAGGACGTCGCTGTTACAGTGCGGCTCAGAATTCAACTTCATACTTCAAGATTTGCGGCAGTATTCACTTCCTATGAACTGTGGGATCTGCTTAACATCAATAGGCCGTGACCTTACTGCGAGAGTGGTTTTCAACGCAAACGGAATAACTAATTCAGTCTTCTTTCAGATGGTCAAAGTTTTGATTATATCGTGGTGGGAGGTGGCACAGCGGGAGCCGTGGTCGCCAGCAGACTCTCGGAGGATCCTAGCATATCGGTGCTCCTCGTCGAAGCTGGAGGAGATCCACCATTCGAATCTGATGTAATCGTATTTTTATCAAGAGTCTAATTTGTGCGATCGTACTCGGCCTATTCTTCAATTTTATCTTCAGTAATTTTTTGGGTTTACGAGAATTTCAAACATTACTCTAATAGCTCTCGTGCCCATACGACACTCGTAAACACGGCATATAATATCCATGTAATACAATAAATCTAACTGTCATGAAAACGGAAATGATGTTGAAGCGGTCAAGGCCTTCAAGTCTCTGCGTGCGATTTATGTTTTGAGAACCTTTTTTTGAAGTTTCTATATTTTTTCAGGTTCCCAAATTAATGCTGTACCTCAAAAATACCACTTCAGATTGGAACTACACGACGGAGCCTGGTCCTTATTCTTCGAGGTGCGTCAAGAGCGTTGCAAGACCATTCGTCCAAGGAAAGATCTTAGGGGGTACCAGCGGTGCTAATTATCTTCATTATGCCCAAGGTCATTATAGAGACTATAATACATGGGCTAAGATCACTAACGATGAAACTTGGAGATGGGAAAACGTCCTACCGTACTTTATAAAAGCTGAGAAGTTCGATGATGTAAGTGTGCTTTGTTCACAAGCCGCTCAGTACCACGGAACTGAAGGACCTGTGGGATTGATGAGGGATAATCGACCAATTATTCAGAACTATTTAGAAGCATTTCAAGATATGCAGAAGCCCATCAAAGATGATCTAAACGCCGTAGACTCTGTAGGTTATGCTCGCGATGTTTACAATATTCAGGATGGCCATAGACAAAGTTCAGCTTTTAGCTTTTTGTCTCCCGCGAGACACCGCTCGAACCTCTTCGTTTGGAAAAACGCTTTAGTCACCAAAATTGTGATTGAAGACAAGACAGCAGTCGGCGTCGAAGTCGTGAAGAATGTTGGTGATACGGAGAAGACATATTCCATCAGAGCTATAAAAGAAGTCATTGTATCAGCCGGTGCAATCAATACACCGAAACTACTCATGCTGTCAGGAATAGGACCCAAAAAGCATTTAAGATCTCATGGTATTCCTCTGATCGCAAATTTACCAGTCGGTAAAAATCTTCAAGATCATACAGCGGCCATTGTGGTTTTCAATATGACGAAATTACATGAAAATCCACCGATATTTAGTTTTTCAGATTACCCAGCCTTTGTATTCCGCGGCTCTGTGTCTCTGAATAAATCTGACTACCCCGATTACTCAACTTGGAATTACATAAACTTCCCAAATGCATTGTTGAAATACTGCTCAGTCAGCTACGATTTTCAAAATTCTGTTTGTGATGATATGCTGGCGACTTCCGTGAACACACAAATGTTGTTCTCTGTTGTGTTTGGTCTTCATCCAAGGTCAAGAGGAAAGGTGTTGTTGAGGAGTCCCTTCTACCAGGACTCGCCTATGGTATTCACAGCTGCGTATCTTGAGAAGGAGGATATTGATAACCAAGTTAAATACGTTAAAGATTTTATCCGCGTAATAAACTCTGCCTATTTCCAAAGCGTCGGTGCCGAGTTGAAGTACCCGAGCTTACCGAAGTGCAATTGTAAGCATAAGGAAGACGAAGAGTTTTGGAGATGTTACATTTTATGTATGACGACTCCTCAACATCACTACTGCGGGACAAGCGCTATGGGCTCAGTGGTAGACGGGAGACTCCGCGTGATGGGAGTAGACAGACTCCGCGTAGTTGATGCCAGCATTATACCAATCATTCCCAGCTCGGGCCTGCTTGGACCCGTCATTACTATCGCTGAGAAAGCTGCCGACTTCATCAAAAGTGATGGTGATTGTCTGAATTTTTGAAGATAGAACTAAGTCAGTTTTTTCTGAGATATTTAAATTTTTGTGTAATCATTATTTCTTATTTATTTGGAAAGTCTTATAAATTTAATTATTAAACATTATACTTAGTGTCACTGATGTGACATTTTGTTAAAGATTATACTTAAAACAAAAAGCTTGAACAGTTTGCAGTGTTGTATTAAATATTAAATAGTGTTTCCGGGCTATTGCATTTTATTCTGGTATCACCTTGACATTATCTATATATTTTTTAACTCTTTAAAATAAATAAAAACTGAATTTTGAAAAAGGAAGNTAATTATTAAACATTATACTTAGTGTCACTGATGTGACATTTTGTTAAAGATTATACTTAAAACAAAAAGCTTGAACAGTTTGCAGTGTTGTATTAAATATTAAATAGTGTTTCCGGGCTATTGCATTTTATTCTGGTATCACCTTGACATTATCTATATATTTTTTAACTCTTTAAAATAAATAAAAACTGAATTTTGAAAAAGGAAGGAAGTTTTGCTGGCGGTTCCCCGCACATATAATAAGCCTCAGCAATGTTAGAGGCCAGGTAATGCTAGCAACAGATTACTTGACGCCGTATATAATAAATAACCTTGAGATGGCACAGGGTGCTTCGAGAGGAGACGCAGATATCTATCTGATGATACTTCGTATCTCGAATACTCCGTCTAAGTATTGCGTAAGGGCGAAGTGTGCGCATTCGTCCGTGCGGCTTTCGTCGTCTTCGCGGTTTTGGGCCACAGGACTTTTTTCTCTTGTGCATACGTGTAGAAAACCATGGGCGCTGTATTCGAATCTCCTCCTTACAAGTTCTACAGCAGAAATGCGGAGTTAACTCATCAAAGTGATACGCGAATTTTACGCAAACAACTCATGGGAATGACTCTTATCTTCTCCTAGTAATCCTGACGTCTGCCGTCGTCTTAATAACGTGATGCTCCAGAGATAAAATTGTTTATTCCTCTTTCTGAGATACCAGTTGGAGATTGCAGGTGGATATCCAATTGGAATAACACATCCACTGGGATTGCCGTATACCTCAAGTGGCCTGTACGCAGAATTGGAGAGCGACTAACAGGCAAAAGAGAAGGCTGACCCTTTGGTCAAACTCTCGGTATAGAACTCGATTTTGGATTACGGATGAGCGAGCTCTAATCGTGAGCCTTGTTGCTGTTAAGGCTTCGACAAGGTCGGGAATAAGGCGCTTTTGTCACAGTTATCAAACTACGGAGTCTCTGAGGGACTTTACAAATTGGTCGCTAGCTTTTGAATGAACGGAGCATCACGAGTCTCGCTGACGTCACTGCTCTGTTACGACGGCTATTAATTAACACTGGCGTTCCACTCGGTGCGGTGCACTCTCGCACGCTCTTCGTCGTAAATAAAAACCCACCGAAATAGTGATTAAAACTCAATTTATTTTTTCCGAAAATTAGGGTAGATTTCACGATATTAATTGACGTTTTTACTTTCTTGAGGTAATCCATTCGTCGCTTCGCTTCAAATAAAACTATCGTCATGTCGCTTATCTCAGACTTATACAGTCGTTTCGACAATATGTCGACCATTTTCCCGAACATTATCGATACAACTTTCATATACTTTAAAAACATTAAGATTCCTACACATGGTCTTTAACTATCAAATTAGTGACTTACTGTCAGTTAGGAAGCTACATATCATAATACAATTCTGATAAAAACTAAACGCTGTATTATGATCCTAAACAGGCTATGAAGAAAAAAAAAAGACATAGTAGCAGAAGTTCCTCAAAGCATACGATGTTTGTTCAGATTTATTTTTAGGCTAAGCTCTTTCACATTATATGTACATATATTTTAGGGACAGCGGAGTCTTATTTACATTTACAAACATTGTTTGCCTAAAAGGAGGCTTCAACCACTAATAATTAATAAGGAGCAATTATTGTTTAGTTGAGTGGACGAGCTCACAGCCCACCTGATGTGAAGTGGTTACTGGAGCCCATAGACATCTACAACGTAAATCCGCCACTCACACAACACATATTTAGACCAGTGCCGTCATTTCCAGTCAATTTAATCCCGGTCTTCAAATTTGAATAGATCGTATTTTAGAGAATACGTCCACCATGTTTCGATTTTCTCTCCGCGTCTTTAAGTAACGAGTCACGGAGGCCTGGCTCAGCCGCCAGGTTCGGTGTAGATTTTCATCGTTCCAAGTTTCACTAACACTCAATGTTCACTTACGATATGGATTTTCTTTCTCGTGTTCAAAAAGAGTTTTAAACTCCACTAAGGCCCGTGTTCTGCTCTACATTCGTCTCTCAGATAGATAAGTCAGAATGCAATAAGAATAAAGAATAAAGCTACAGTTATGCTACACAATATCTTCGTCTAAATGCATTATTCCGTTGATAATCCCGTTACAGGTTTGTGTGCACGACACTGGATTAATCATAGGATCTAATCTAAAGCGAGTGGTCTTCTCGCACATAAGCTTTGTGTCACGTTTAAGCTCTGGAAGAAGCTTCATGTTCTCCGCAACTGTGTGATTTATATTTAAAAGTTCTTCAAGGCACGATTAAGAACAAATAATAATTTTTTTATTTGCCTATGCTGATGGTTTTAAAAGACCATTTCAGCGTAGCCCTAACAAGTAGGTGAGCTCACGGGGCTCAAGCCTGACGTCGTAGTTAATACTGACCCTAGCAAGAACAGAACTTCGCAGGATCTATCGACTTATTGGAAACGCGACCCATTGAGAATATCCGGCGAGAAACTCAGTGGGCTGTGTCTATGGGTTAATTCGCTCGTCTAGCCCCTCGTCGCAAGCGACGGGTTCGACGAGGACGGTGACCGATGCTTGTGGTGCCTAAAAGTACCGTTAATGGATCGGGAGGATCCGTAATGACGTGTTGGGCGACGTCGACTGTTTACCATTCCACTTCGTTCCATTCCACTTCGGAGAAGTACTCCACGCGAGGCCGGACTTTTGCTTTATAAAGTAAAATTTTTTGACCAGGCGTGAAATACCGCTTCGCTCTGTTAAGGACTCCCAGCATTTTGGACGCCAACTTGGCTTTGCCTTCCAAATAACTCCGAAATTGGACATCGCTCGAAATGTCGACCCCAAGTATCCCGATACCCTCGGAGGGTTGCAGGGATACTCCTTGGAATTGCGGCAACATGACACCATATAACGCAAGAGTGCCACGACTCATGAACGAACGCCCCTACGCCCGGGCCTGTCCTACCTGTCTCCTCGGCTGGGGTGCTAATAATAATAATTGCAGGTTGTAAATGCACTAGAAACTTTTCCGCACTGCCTTTTATCCGCAGCGACTTGCCCGCACTACGCAGCATCCAAACAGTACAACATCCAACACGCCCAATGATGGCCCCGCACCCGGGCTCGATGTTTCTAATAGTATATTTCTCCTTCATAAAATAAATAATTATATGAAACAAAAGACTCAACGGCTTTGAAAATTGTACAAAATTGTACCAAGCAATCTGTGTATACTCGTACGAGCCGGGGCGGAGACCAGATAATTATAATCTCTCAATCGGTGCGGTTCAGGTTTCCATACAATGTTTCCATACAATCATATTTTGTTTTATCACATAAACATGTTTTATTTATTTATTTACTTTACTGCTCTGTTACTACAGAACAAGGGCGAATACAGCTTTGGCGCCAGGAGGGGGTCACATAGTCGTGGTCAAGTAAAGAACTTACAATTTAATTTTGATAACAATAGATAAAAGTAAAAAGTGTTTTTTTTTCATTGCTTAGATAGGTGGATGAGCTCATAGCCCACCTGGTGTTAAGTGGTTACTGGAGCCCATAGACATCTACGACGTAAATGCGCCACCCACCTTGAGATATCAGTTCTAAGGTCTCAGTATAGTTACAACGGCCACCCCGCCCTTCAAACCGAAACGCATTACTGCTTCGCGGCAGAAATAGGCGGGGTGGTGGTATCTACCCGCGCGGACTCACAAGAGATCCTACCACCAGTATTTTATTAATGTACGTAAGTACTGTATAAATGTTAAATATTGAAGGTATGTAGTTACATAAAATCTATATGGTGACAAAATACATAAATAAAATCATTATGTTCAATTAGCGGTCCACCTACGTCCTGGAACTAGCTCAGGGGGGGTCATAATCCCCATGACATCCCCCCCCCCTGGACCCGCCGTTGCTACAGAAATATAGAAATTAGTTATACATAATGTAGAAATAATATTTTATAGTGTGTCGAGAGAATTAGACACATATTTCGTAGATACATAGTACAAAATTGTTTGACCTGCGTAGCTTTTTGTTTTTTTTTTTAATAACTGAGATCAAATCACGCGCCGTCGTCGAGCCCCAAATTAGGATTGCCGGTGTTATGAGTACTTATATTTATATTTAAAATAATTATATACATAGATAAGAAACACCCAAACAAAGACCAAACAAACCTGTTCATTACACGAATGTTGTACAACGTACAATGAATGCCTGCTGTGGGAATCGAACCCACGACCCTCGGCGCGGCTGCCAGGGCCGCTAACTACTGCACCGAGTCAGTGGCATATAGAAGCTCGACAAATATTACCCCTCCCCTCCTCCTGCAAACGGGTAATAATGAAATAACATAACTATTTTTAACAAAACTGCTACATTACTGGTGGTAGGACCTCTTGTGAGTCCGCGCGGGTAGGTACCACCGCCTTACCTATTTATGCCGTGAAGCAGTAATGTGTTTCGGTCTGAAGGGTAGGGCAGCCGTTGTAACTATACTGAGATCTTTGAACTTATAACTCAAGGTAGGTGGCGCATTTACGTTGTAGATGTCTATGGGCTCCAGTAATCACTTAACATCAGTGGGCAGTGAGCTCTTCCACCCATCTAAACAATTAAAAAAAAATACTCCATACTAACGTTCGTTTGCGATCTAAAATGATATTCTGAAATTCACGCAACATTAATTTGAGTACTCACAGTTGGATATGTTGCATATGAACTGAATGGTTATGACACCTCGGCGTGTGGCTGCAGAACGAAGAGCCCGTGTGCACCAGGGCTATCTTACTTATTCATTTACTGATTTATTTAGAATTGTGCAACTGCTTTTATTAGATTTTTTATTTATTACTTAGATGGGTGGACAAGCTCACAGCCCACCTGGTGTTAAGTGGTCACTGGAGCCC